CTTCACCATTCTTTCTAGTGCAGCTCACAAACAGGAAATGCAAGCTGCACTGCTGAAAAATGTAAGTATTTTATGAGAGCATGAAAGACTAAACACTGACCAAGGAATTACTAATAAGTGATAATAACAAAATTTCAGTGAATGGAGAATTAGAAGCTAATGAACCACATCTCCTCTTCTCTTTTTCTGTACATGACCCTTTATAACCTCCATAACTGGGGCTCTGACTAGAATGAAGGTACTGGATCCTGGGGAAGGACAGTGAGAAAGGTGGACTACAAGATTATATGACCAGAAGTAAAAAAGCCACTAAATGAGGAGAGAATTCCTAGTTCCCTCCTAAAAGAGAACTTTTAGTTAGGAGAGCTATCAGCTGGATACTCCCCAAAGCATCCCAACTGCTCCAGGCAAACTGGCCTGTTTAACCTATGCTAATGATATGGGAGGGGTATTAATTTTGGGTAAGAAACCCTCCAGGGGAAGTTGTTAGAGGAGTGTTATAGGAAAGACAAGGTTACAGAGGACACAGCTGAAAAGCAGCTGAAGAACATAATGTGGTACCAAGAATTAATGACTATGACCTGTGTTTATGGATTTCAACATACTTTTTTCATATGCATAATGTTTGCTCTTTGTTGTCATAGAGTAAGTCCCAAACTGAGCTGTGCTGGCAGTCAGCAGTATCTCCCCCACTACAGTGCTGATATAGGTGAAAATACAGAGATACAGGTGCCCTTATACCCTGGCACTGGTGACCACTATTATATGGTCCTATACAATGTTCATCTGTAATGCCATTTATATCTACTTTACTTGCTCTGCCATAGCATCACCCAGAAGAAGATACTGGTAAGACAGATGATGTGACTTAACTCTTATTTCAAGCAGATAGATCTACAAATATGTGATAATATATCCTCTGCTCTTCATCCCTCTATTCTTTCCTCTGACTTGGTCTTTAGGCTTCAATAGAGGGTGGTTGAGTTTTGTTGTTTTGGTTTGGTTTTTAAGTGAACTGTTACTCTTATTGTGAGAAGCTTTAAATTCCCTGAGGCTGATTTAACTTCAAAATCCTTGTGTACAGCTCTTACGGTTGGAGGAAGAGAAGTGTGAGGTGAATGTAAGTGCCATCTTACATTCTTAGGTGTTTCTATGTGTGGATTCCATCAACTTAAGCATTCCCACTTTGTACATCAATGTTGACCTGCCAGTGTAGACACTGATATGAACCATCCGACTGTAGAAATCTGTAATTTCTCACACGAGAGGAGCTTTCCCCCTCAGCTCTTCTGATTGCATACACCTGTCACAGCTCCTGAAGGGAACTGTGAGGAGCCAACAACAGATAGACGAGGGATGGCCAAGGATCAGGGAGTTCATTCTTTTCATTCATGTACATGGGTGCAGGAGAGAGACATGGCAGGGAAACAGTAAAAGCAAAAAATGGAGCAACCTGTAAGTATGATTAGTTCCTAATGCTCTTTCTAGTAGATTTTTTTCCTGCAGAAGATCTTCACTATTCAGAGGATGGATACAGTTGTAGATACCTGAAATCTCACAAATTTTTCACTTAATGCACAACAAAAACTTTACTATCTGCAAGGGCATGCCCTCTTTTTTTCTTAATCATGCCTGATGTCTCTTTTTCTGGATCCCATTTTTAATTAGCACAAACAAATAACTGAGAAAGATCAGGACTGGGGAGAATACAATCTTATTCAGCTGCAGTTCTGACTTATATATTTTCCAATAGATTTTTTTTCCTTATCTTCTGGTTGGTGGGGCCTGGAGGAAAGGGGAGAACCGCTGCTTTTTCACACAGAGCTTTTTTCAAGGCTAATCTGCTAGCATGATCCAATTCTAAAGCCCCCACATGGACTTCCAAAGCTGGAACTTGCTCCAACTTTCAAGAAAAGCAATTCAATAATCAGCAATTTTATATCAGTGGTGAATTTTTCTGCTTATTTACTGATACAATATAAATTCCTATATTCTCCTAAAATAGAAGCAAGTCAAACATAAATATTTAATTTACATATAGATTAGGACAAGCCTTAGAGAAGGCCATTACTGTTTGGTGGAGTTGCATTTTCACAGAACAAGGGACAGCTGAATCAATCATGAATGCCCTCCCTGTCCCAACATAGACCAGGGAGACTTTCAATTTTATAACCCCTGACACCAACCAGGTATGTCTCCACTGACTTTAAAAGGCTTTGGCTGAGGGCACAGACCTCTTGGAGCACTCACTGGCAGTTCATCTCTTACAGGCCCAACCAGATCACCCACATTAAAAAAAAAAAAAAAAAATACAGTCACTGGTGGAGCATTTTCCAAGACTGCTTTAGCAGCTCACCTTGATTTCTGGAGCATTTTCCAAGACTGCTTTAGCAGCTCACCTTGATTTCACAAAATACTCTGAATCACAGTATCACAGAGTCATTTAGGTAGGAAAAGACCCTTAAGATCATGGAGTCCAACCACATTTAATGTACCTATGTAACATTTAACTTCATGGCAGTATAATGCACTTAAAGAGAACTTAAAGGAAAAATGCTGCTGTTCTTAATGCAGTTTCTGCTGATGCCTGATTCACCTCAGACAGCAAAATCCATCTTTTTAATCAACAAGAAAAAGGCTGCAATGTACACAAACGTAGTGAACCATGTCATCAAAGTGCCAGGAGGGATGGAAGCTGAATAACCCTCCTCCTTGTTCCCCAGAATACACGGGCTTTTTGCACCAATTATATGTGAAATTGAAGTCCCAGTTAGGATTTTAAACACAGCACGCGGTCGGGAAGAAAGCAAAGACCTTCCAGAGGAGCCAAACCTGGAATGTGGGCTATGCTGTAACAGAGGAGACTCACAGTGGGGTTTGGCTTGTTCCTCTCACAGGTTCCAGAGCCTTTGGAGCATCTCTCATGCTTCTTTATGACAGTGGGAGGTGACTTCTCTCAGCCCTCAGCAACTGGAAACCATCAATAAAGGCTCAAAATAGGAAATGCCTTCAAAAAATTTAGGGGAAAAAAATAGTCTTTGCTGATCTTACCAAAGGAAAACCATTCCAGACTCCAAGCCTGTTCTTAATTTCCCCTGACTCCAAACTAAGCACTTGTTGAAATTTTTGTTGAACTGGGACTGAGTTAAGCATTTGTTTGACCAAGCAATTGCTTACTTTAAGTTTCTGGATGCACACAATATATGTTCTCATCCTCCTTCCTTGAAGCAGGATTAAGACCTACAGTCATCCCTCTGGGATTATCAACAAAGTTAATTTTTCATATTTAGAACTGGTTTTTTTTGCACCAGGATTATGTACTTCCCACTGTTGACATATGTGTGATACAACAAGGAAGGTAAAGAAAAAATTTATTATTACAAGTGGGAGGAAGAAAGAGCAAGGACCAAGCTAGGCTTCCAAAATTTCCTGCAGTAAGTCCACCAATCAGATATGCTCAGCCATGGAAGCAGAACCAGGAAAATTATAGATTGTACATACGTATGCAGATTTTTACATATCAGGGACCTATGGAATCCAAATTTGCCAAAGTAGTGGACAATTCCAAGCAGATATACACTGTTATGTGCATGAAGTTGTATCTTTTAACTAGTTTTCTAGGTGAATAAAGTTTATCTACTTGTGTTGCAGTCGTCTAGTAACTTTTTAACTAGCTGATGTCCAATTGCCACGTGCAGAGACACAAGAATGCCAAAGACAAATAATCAATCTCTACCAGATCACAGAATAAGAGACACAGATAAAAAAATAAAGTTTATGTGCAATTGTGGAAGGACTGAGGGTCTGAAATAAGGCACAGAGGGATATATGGATTTCTGGTGGGTGGGACCATTGGGGATCAGTTAAAGGCACCACAGGGAAGTTCAGGCCATTGACAGCAGAAGTCCCGTGCACAGAGGGCATGAAACCATGCAATTTGGCTTTATTATAACCCACACTGCTCACAGAACTGCTTGTGAAAAGGAACAGATAGTGAAGATAAACTTCATTAATGTACAACTCAAGTGAAAACAAATATTTGCTTCAGAAGTTATACACTCAATTCAAAATTACTTACCTGTAGGTTACAGTGGTTTAGATGTGGTCTCTAAATAGCCAGCAAAAATATCCACCAAAAATCAGTGTTTCAAATCTCACATCCGCAACAAAGGCTGATAAGGTTATAAATAATAATGCAATAATAGTTTTAGTGGAAAAAAAAAATATATATATGTTCCAGTTGATGTGAATGTCAGGTTCTCTTAAACAGACAAGTTGAATGCTAAGAATGGGGGGTGAGAAAGTTTTCTTACCTGTCTTTGGTACCATTTAGCAGTTTATATCTTGAAATCATAATCCTGCATGCTGCAGGTAATCACACAATCAAAAACATGTGAAGTCATTTTATCAATGTCCGTGATCAGATCTGGGCTGACGACAAGTGCAAAAAAGTTCCACAAAATCATAAACAATATATTTTCCATGGCTAATGATACTTGACCGTAATGGAGCTAATGACTCTTAAATTAAAGCAAAATAGGGAAAATCACTCAAGAATCAAGTCACCTTGCTCTTAATTGTCTTTATTTCTGTAGACATGTAGAATGTCCTTCATAATTTCCTTCTGACCTGGAAGTACATCTCTGGGGACTTCTTCCTGTGTTCAGACACACCTATATGCATATTCCATGTGTGTAAGTAAATGAACCACCACCTTAAAGTGGGTTACAGTACTTAAAACCAAACTACTTCAGAATAACAGTGATAATCCATAATATGTTTTAAGAATTAAAAAAAAAACCAACAAAAAAAAAACCCCACCCTTTCTGTGTTTAGTGGATGTAAAAAACAGGAAATAAAATGAGATTTGGGGTGACATTGGAACATCCCTTGTGGGTCCCTTCCAACTCAGCATATTCTGTGATTCTGTGATCTTGAAAATACAGAAATGCAACATTTATGTCAATTAACAGAGTAATTTATACCATTTTTCTACTTACAGCAGACATGATAAGCTCTCCACCGAGATTCTGGATTTCTGCTTTAACTTGACTGCAGATTTTGAGCTGGTGGGAATACAGCTTGATCTGTTCTAGGTAAGCCAATAAATCCTGTTTGCATGACTGGTCTGGACACTGAAAAGAACAATAAGTAAAGAATTTCAGCTATTGCTGATTCAAACATGTCTCAGGAATCATTTCAATACTTCACTGGGGAGTGTTCAAATTGTACATTAATTTAGCCTTGTCTTTCACTGCAGCTGTATCAAGCTGCACAGTTCAATCCTCTTGTGAAAGTTTTTAATGTAATAGTTGGAAGATCAGAATAATCCTAAAATTCCTCATATTCACTTTTTAACACTGCTGCACTTGCCTTAGCAATATTTCAAAACACATTCTTTACTGTATGGAATAATTAATTTTCCTTCAATTATGTAGAGGTTATGATTTCTATTTAAGAAAATACCTACACCAACAGTGATGTGGGGAATATAAACATGCATTTTGTGGGCAAATATAAACACACATGCAGAGACATTTACATATAATGCTTTATCTTGTAATATGAACTATGGGGTTTTTTTGTGTTCCATCCAGAGTGAATTCAACTCGATTCACAGATCATCTGTATCAGTGTGAACAGGAAAATAAGGTCTTACAGAAAACTCATTGATTTCAATACTTCTAAAAATACAGATATATTTTTTTTAATATTATTTTTAAAAATAAAAATAGGGTCTTTCCAACCTCATTTTTGTGAACTGCTAAAATTCAGTGAGTACTTGGAGAGGAAATATTGCTCTGAGGTACCAGGCCAGACACCAAAGGCCATGTATGTGTTTGTTCTGAAGCTGCTTTTCACTGCTCTGGTAGACTAAAGGGATCTTCAGGGGAATGGTGAGTCCCTATTGTGATACCACACCTGTAAAAAGTAAGTGTGATAAGTAAACAATGGATTCTTACAGTTTTTCAGAGATGTGTTTTTAGCCTTTGTACTTACATCAAAAATATGATCACTTTCTTCTGACAGGAAACTGTGTTCAGCTTTGCATGTTAAAAAAGCAAATATACATTCCCACCAACTGCACTGTCAATGATCAGTCAACGATCTCTGTTTTTATATTTATGGTTTTATTTAAACTTTTGATCTTATGGAATTGTGGTCAATGGATTTAAATCCAAAACCTGCCAGAAGTCAGGAAAAGCACTGATTCTACTTAATTCATGAAATGTTTTTTTTTACTGGTGTTGCTGAAGAAACCTGGTACATGTTTAAAGGGGTGGTATGACAATTCTATCTTCCTGGCTCTGCAATGTTTGGTTAAGCAAAAAAGGTCATGTTTAGACTTAGGAAAAGGTAAGAGTAAATGTGGAAGGCCAGAGTGAACAATTTAAAATGAATTAATATGACTTGGTTATCAGTCCTTACCGTGTGTTCTGCTAACATCTCTTACTAAAATGTCTTCTGTGCTTTGGCACAGAACAAAACTTGTTTTGTTTTTTGTTTTTAGAACAAAACCAGGTCTTTCTTGACATCTCTTGCTGTGTGTGATGTTTTCAAAGTGTTACCATGTATACTAAAATATGTCTTTGTTTCTTCCTTAGCACTGCTTTAAATAACTGTCCAAATCAATATTTAAATACTGGTATCTCGCTGACTGCTTAGAAAATACTCCTTGTGTTTTTTATTTTAATTAATGAAAATTTATACTTCCAGTCAAATACAACTGTAATACCCTTTAGAATCAGAACTAATTATATCAACATGAGGTGTATTCCTGCAAAGAGATTCCTTCTTCTTCCTTTTTTTCTTTCCTTAATAACACTGTGACTTTGTCCCCTCAGCCAGAAAAACTCAAGAGAAAGGTATATAGCGTGGTAATATGCCAATATAATGTCTCATGCACTTAAAAAAGTGACAATGTCAGTCAGAGAAGTTCAGTGACAAGAATAATTATCATATTCATGGCTGGGCTTCGCGAACGAAGATTTGAGAAGGGCTCTACCCACGCTTGCTACGAGCGCGCTGGTAGCTGAAAAGGCCAATGTGAGATAGACAAGTCCGGTTGCAGAAGGCACAGCAGAAAGACTCCCCAGGTGATATCGATGAGACATAATTCTTTCTGCGTTGTCTTTTCTCCTCGAGAGTGATCCTGCATGTGTTCTCAAAAGCAGCAGCAGCGTTATAGATGGTGTGTCTCCAGGCCTCCCGACTGGAGGCCAGGGTAGACCAGTGGTGGTGATCAATATGGCCAAGGCTGAGGGATTGTTTCAGGCAGCCCTTGTATCTCCTCTTCGTGCTCCTCTCTTGCAGCAGCCAGTGGTAAGTTCCCCATAGAGCACGATCTTAGAGAGGCAGTAGTCCTGCATCATGGAGACGTGCCCTGCCCAGCGCAGCTTTGTTCTCAGCAGCATGGCCTCAATGCTCGTGACTGCTGCCTGTTCAAGGACAGATGTGTTGGTCACATAATCCATCTGGTGGATGTTGAGGATTGTATGGAGGCAGCGCTGATGGAAGTGTTCTAAGAGATGCAAGTGGTGCCGGTAAATGACCTGTGATTCAGATCCATATAAAAGAGTAGACAGTACAATGGCTCTGTAAACGCTGATCTTAGTACTTTTCTTCAAATGTTTGTTTTGTCACACTCTTTTATGGAGTTTACCAAAAGCTCTGTATGCCTTTGCTAATCTGTTGTCTATTTCTTCATCAATCTTACTGTCTGAGGAGATGATGCTTCCCAGGTAATTAAACTGCTGGACTGATTTGAGCTCTGTTTCACCAATGGTGATATGGGGATGATGGGAGATTTCCTGAGGAGCAGGCTGATAGAAAACTTCTGTTTTCTTCAAGCTGACTTCCAGCCCAAAAAGCTCAGCAAAGTAGGATGTCAAATGCTGCAGAGCTACTTCTGTGTGGGCAACGAGGGCGGCATCATCAGCGTAAAGCAGCTCACAGACAAGATGATTTAGGGTCTTAGTGTGGGCCTTCAGTCGCCTTAGGTTGAATAGGCTCCCATCAGTACGATATCAAATGTAGATACCGTTTTCGTCATCGAGGTCTGCCGTGGCCCTTTGGAGCATCACGCTGAAGAAGACTGTGAATAAAGTTGGTGCAACAATGCAGCCTTGCTTCACACCACTGGTTATTGGAAAGGGCTCAGAAAGTGCATTGCCATATCTGACTTGACCACACTGGTCCTCATGAAGTGAGATGATAATTTTGAGGAACTTGGGAGGACATCCTAAACATTCCAAAATCTGCCACAGACCTTTTCTGCTCACAGGATAGAAAGCCTTGGTGAGATCAACAAAGGTTACATAGAGTCCTTTGTTCTGTTCCCTACACTTCTCTTGCAGTTGTCTGAGAACAAATACCATGTCTGTAGTACCTCTGTTGCCTCGGAAACCTCATTGGCTTTCAGGTAGAAGTTCTTCTGCTATGGCAGGTATTAATCTATGAGGCTCTGAAAACAGCCTACGGTCCTACACACCAGGTTCAAAGCCTTTTACTCATTGCAGATGGCTTCTCACAGATAAAGTGTCCATTTTGAATCAATGGTCCGAACACTTTCAGACTCTCTTCAGTACTAGCCATGTAGTTCAAGACTCAGCAATGCAGTACATTTCACAACAACCAATGAAAACTGAACTGGATACTGCCCCCACTATGGGAGAAACTCTTAAAGCAATACAGCAGGTGAAAATTGGCAAGGCAGCTGGGGTTGATGGAATCCCTCCTTAAGTCTGGAAGCATGGTGGCCAAGCACTCCATGCTAAGTTTCATAAATTTGTGGTGCGCTGTTGGGAACAAGGTGAACTGCCTTCAGACCTTCGTGACGCTCTCATTGTCACCTTGTACAAGAAGAAAGGAGATAAATCAGACTGCTCAAATTACCGAGGTATTACTCTGCTCTCCATTGCTGGTAAAATCCTTGCAAGAATTCTTTTGAACAAATTATCATATAGTACTCTTTTATATAATTATATTGTCAGGTTTGGCACATGTATCATCTTCCTTACATTAGCATAAGAGAAGAAATGTGTATCATTTTAGGAATGCTGAAGATGATATGCACCAAAGTCTGGGAAAAGGTCACTCAAGAACAAGACCTTGAGGTTAAAATAGTTCTATGAGAACACTGTTTCAATGCCAGGAGCATTCAAAACAACAAATGTTTGGCATTAAATAGGAAAAGTCTTCTGAGATGTAATTCTGCAACTGTACAACTCTGTGGCATATCCACAGCTTTACCACCCTGAGCAGACAAGGTGCATCCAATGTCGACACCAAGGCACATAGCAAGGACAACAAAGATTTTAATGAATACAGGTATTCTTTCCTCCATTACAAAACCAAGGGGTCATTAAAAGTAATTACACTGTGTACAAAACAAGGAAATGGTTCTCAACAGTGGGTTGTTAAGTCGCAGAAATCTATGTTACAGAACGGCTACATGAAAAGCTTACGTGGCTTGACAAAGTTATGGAACAAATTAATGTGTCAGGTTTTATATGTTTGGTTAAGTAAATTCTGGAATGGCTGCTGGAGGCTGGGAGTATCATACCATTATCCCACTTTCTGTAAGTATTCACTGTTAACTGTTGTCAGCAACAGGGTACTGGCCTGAGTGTACCTTTGGACTGGCCAAGTGGGCTCGTTTTTGTTATTCACCCATAAAACTTTACCAGATGATACAACAAAGGACCAACACCACAGAAGAGCAGGCATTTGCAGGGGTAAAGATAACATTCTGCACTACTTTAAGCAGGATAAAATATTAAAAAAAAGGCTTAAGCCTCATGCCTTATAGCATATCCAAATCAACCATCAACAGATGTTAGGAGGACATGTGCTATGTAGGACATTCCATAAGGAATCTTCTACTTATTGCTCAGAAGCATCTGGTACAAGCAACACTTGCTCACTAGTGAAACCAAAAACTGGGATGCAACATAAGGACAACTAATAAATTCTGAGTTTAATCAACTCACAGGCAATTGATGATTACCAGTTTAATGCCTCACATTCTTAGCTAGAGATCCCCACAAATTATGGGAGCAGCACATTCCATCAAACCAGGATGTACTAATTGCCTTAATTATCTCATGGCTTCCAGGTCACAAATTTGACAATG